CTGATATGTATTCGGTATTAAAGAAGCCTTCTCCAAAGTATATACTGGTAAATACTAGTAGGCGTGTTCTCCTTCTCCTTAAATTACCAAATACACTCATAGACGCCGGTAGTCTGTTTTTTTTTTTTTGAAGGAGACAGAGACAATTTTTTTCACACTTGGTTATCTCGTGTGTCTTTAATAAAGAAAGGTCACTGTAATATCTTTCAGAGTTATAGTCTGAATCCCGATATAAATGTGGCAAACTTCACCGCTTTGACCCTGCGTCCAGCTCCCACCACTTTGACCTTGACTCCAGCTCCCACCACTTTGACCTTGTGGCAAACTTCCACCGCTTTGACCCTGCGTCCAGCTCCAACCACTTTGACCTTGAGTCCAGCTCCCACCACTTTGACCTTGTGGCAAACTTCCAACGTTTTGACCTTGAGTCCAGCTCCTACCACTTTGACCTTGTGGCAAACTTTCACCACTTTGAGCCTGCGTCCAGCTCCCACCACTTTGACCTTGACTCCAGCTCCCACCACTTTGACCTTGTGGCAAACTTCCACCGCTTTGACCCTGCGTCCAGCTACAACCACTTTGACCTTGAGTCCAGCTCACACCACTTTGACCTTGTGGCAAACTTCCACCACTTTGACCTTGACTCCAGCTCCCACCACTTTGACCTTGAGTCCAGCTCCCACCACTTTGACCTTGTGGCAAACTTCCACCGCTTTGACCTTGACTCCAGCTCCCACCAATTTGACCTTGAGTCCAGCTCCCACCACTTTGACCTTGTGGTAAACTTCCACCGCTTTGACCCTGCGTCCAGCTCCCACCACTTTGACCTTGTGGCAAACTTCCACCGCTTTGACCCTGCGTCCAGGATCCACCACTTTGACCTTGACTCCAGCTCCCACCACTTTGACCTTGTGGCAAACTTCCACCACTTTGACCCTGCGTCCAGGACCCACCACTTTGACCTTGACTCCAGCTCCCACCACTTTGACCTTGTGGCAAACTTTCACCACTTTGACCTTGACTCCAGCTCCCACCACTTTGACCTTGAGTCCAGCTCCCACCACTTTGACCTTGTGGCAAACTTTCAACACTTTGACCCTGCGTCCAGGATCCACCACTTTGACCTTGAGTCCAGCTCCCACCACAAAAGTTATTGTCTGAATCCCGATAAACATGCTAAAATACCTTTTATTGGTAATATTAATACGAACTTCCCGCCCCCTCTCAATTTTTGTCTCCATGAGTGTATTCATAAAATGAATATATTCTGCCGTTATATTTAATATAAACCCGTATAGATGAGTAAATTCGCGCCGTGCCAAAGCTTTTTTTTTTCTTTAGTAAAAAAAAAGAAACTTATTATTATTTTTATTGAAAGTTTATAATTAATCTTCATAACAATGATATCTAATATAATTAATTTTTAATTAAACCGGAGTTTTCCTTTTTTCTTATAAGTTTCTATAAATAGGAAATACTGTATAAAATGGGGAAAAAAGCGTTTAAGCGGGATTTGTAGTGTATTATAAGCGGGATGATTTGTATAGCAAAATGTAACTTGGGACCCAATTCTACTGTACACGACGTACCTTGTCTTCCAACTTCTTGAGCACAAACAGCTCCAGTTGTTCAATCAAGAACGGCTCCACGCAGTAGTCCAGAGATGGGGTAATAACAGACAGGGTCCCCATTAACGTGATAGCGCTTGGATCCAGGGTTTCTGGAAAACCAGTATCACAACATCTTGACATTGTCTTACATGGGATAAAACTATATACCGTGTATGTTCAATAGGTTTCTTTGAATAGTGTATAAACCACTGTGGCACTCTTGAACCTGTGATACAATTAAACTTCAACAATCCTGACAGTCTAGGCAGACTATGCAAAGATACAGAAAAAACCATCCAATTTGCTACCATTTCCAAAATGAATACAAAACCGTAGACCACCTTCTTTTCACCTGTCCGGCTTCAAATACCAAAGATTCCAGATAGCTATCCTCCTTGGAGTCACTAAGCCCTGGGAAATCTTCCAAGAAAAAAAAACCTGCCTGGCGCCAACTCATGAATTAGACCTATGCTTTCATTGTGAATAAAACAAAAAATATACTTAGGTCTGTAGGACAGGTAGGTAGTTTGAGACTTCTATACATGGCTCTAGGAACCTGGGTTATAACCAAATAATTAATAAATGCGCAATTAAATAGATAAAATCGATACAATTCGAAAAGCTATAATGGCAACTAAAAATAAAATAATGGCTCAAGAGAGAGAAATTCAGACAACCCAGGTTCCTGGAGAGCAGAACGCCAACTAACCGGGCTGTCCAGCTCGTACTAGCAGGGTAAGGGTATTAGAAGATTTGAGGGTAGTGGGAAAAGGTGTCTACAGGGAAAAGGGTAAAGACAGATTTGGGGGAAGTAGGGATAGGATGTATATACAGGGAAAAGGGTAAAGACAGATTTGAGGGAAGTAGGGATAGGAGGTATCTACAGGGAAAAGACAGATTTGAGGGAATTGGGGATAAGGTATCTACAGGGAAAAGGGAAAATACATATTTGAGGGAAGTAGGGATAAGGTATCTACAGAGAAAAGAGCAAAGACAGATTTGAGGAAAATAGGGATAGGAGGTATCGACAGGGTAAAGACTAGAAAATTTGAGGAAAGTGGGGATAAGGTATCTACAGAGAAAAGAGCAAAGACAGATTTGAGGAAAGTAGGGATAGGAGGTATCGACAGGGTAAAGACTAGAAAATTTGAGGAAAGTGGGGATAAGGTATCTACAGAGAAAAGAGCAAAGACAGATTTGAGGAAAGTAGGGATAGGAGGTATCTACAGAGAAAAGAGCAAAGACAGATTTGAGGAAAGTAGGGATAGGAGGTATCTACAGGGTAAAGACTAGACAATTTGAGGAAATTGGGGATAAGGTAGCTACAGGGAAAAGGGCAAAGACAGATTTGAGGAAAGTAGGGATAGGAGGTATCTACAGGGTAAAGACTAGAAGATTTGAGGAAAGTGGGGATAAGGTAGCTACAGGGAAAAGGGCAAAGACAGATTTGAGGAAAGTAGGGATAGGAGGTATCTACAGTGTAAAGACTAGAAGATTTGAGGAAAGTAGGGATAGGAGGTATCTACAGTGTAAAGACTAGAAGATTTGAGGGAAGTGGGGATAAGGTATCTACAGAGAAAAGGGAAAAGACATATTTGAGGAAAGTAGGGATAGGAGGTATCTACAGGGAAAAGGGTAAAGACAGATTTGAGGGAAGTAGGGATAGGAGGTAACTACAGGGAAACGACTAGACGATTTGAGGAAAGTGGGGATAAGGTAGCTACAGGGAAAAGGGTAAAGACAGATTTGAGGAAAGTAGGGGCATAAGGTATCTACAGGGAAAAGGGTAAAGATTACAAGATTTGAGGAAATTCGTTGTAGACGTTAGCTAGGGGTATATGATGGAAACAAGTCCAGTATTTTAACCAATAAATTTTTAAAAAATGTACAAACAAAATGTCAAATCCACAATCATATGCAACCAACGTTTATTTTCACTAATACCATCAAATAAAGTTAAATTGGAAGGCATAGATGGATCCATATGGATAAATGTTGTATATCCTGATTGACCACTGGGGAAAGGTTAATGATCACACTACGAGAGGGTTAAAAGAAGGCGGATAGAAGAAAATTTGAGGTAATTGGTGGTATATGGTGTTTATAGGAAGAGAGAAGATGGCGGGCGACCTAAGAGATTAATAGGACGGTGAATACGAAAGAAGATGGAGACCTAATTTGAAAAAAATGTTGGTAGGTAGTGAAAAGGAAAAAGGAGAAGGGCCTAAAATATTTGATAAAATTTGTATCAGCCGGTGACCTGTAATGAAGGTGGATACTAAATTTGGGGTAATTGATAGTTGGCGGTGACAAAGAAGGAAGGAAGGAAGGTGAACGATTCAAGATAATTGACGGTAGAATAAGTTTAGGCATGTAGGTAGAGCTTCAAAATATTTAAAGAAATTGATAATAGGGCGTGATTGAGAAATGTGATGGAGCCTAGAGAAAGTTTGTGCAAGGTGGTGACAAGGAAAGGCTTACGTGAGCAGTCAGGAAAGGCGGGCTGAGGTCTCCAGATCCCCTCCCCCAGGCGACAAACAGTCACGGTGGGCAGGGGACCGGCCCCCGGTGCCAGGCCGTACCCCTCGTGACAGGAGGGGCGGCAGGTCACTGCTCCAGCGCGGTACTCGCAGTGAGGATCCAGGTTACGGATGTTTACAGGAACCGTGCATCCATGCTCTGTGAAACAATGTTATTTTTCAATACTTTAAATACTTATATCACCTATGTCCATGTGAAGACTTCTAATTATGTATTTTTGTTGTTTCATTCTCAAGGCAGATAACACACAAATACCGATTGTTCAGTTTTAATTGGTTCCATGACGACTAGCAACCAATACTCATCAAAATACCACCATTATTTTAACTTGCGTAGAAACAATACAGTTAAAGGAAGGATGAAGCCTCAGAAATAAGCGTGACAGCCTGGCTCCATATCATTCCAAAGTTCCGACCATTGTCCCCGGTTGAGGAAAAACCCGGCTATAAAAGAGGCTGGGAGCTTGGTAAAGACAGTTGGTTTTAGGTTCAAATGAGACGTGTAGACAGCCTAAAACAAACTACTCTCTAAAGACGAAGAATGCATGGTTTATAAAGACGATTTGAATGCTGGTGATTGGCTGCATCCTCAGTATAGCTGGGGTACATGATACAACCCATTGAAGAAAACTAAAACAATTTACTTGCTTCCTTTGACCCTCAATGTGGATTCTTACTTTATTCTGTATTTTTTTAAAGTAAACGCTAAACTACAATATACAGGGTGTCCCAAAATAACGGAGTTAAACATTTCGAGTCATAATATTATTGAACAAAAAAAGTGAACTACATTTTTTTAACAATGGGTAAGAATAATATGGATACTCTCTCTCTCTCTCTCGCATGCTTCCATGGTGTAATGGTTAGCACTCTGGACTCTGAATCCAGCGATACGAGTTCAAATCTCTCTCTCTCTCTAACTAACAATTAATTCAGCCGGTTTAAAATTGGCCTCCCTTGGCGGCGATACATAGGTCTTTGGACCTGAAATGTGACTTGAAATTTTTTGCTACGGGCTGCAGGTCCTCCGGCGACAATCGGTCCCATTCTCGGCGCAGCGATCGCTTCAGCGACTTCAAACTTTGTGGTATGTAGCACAGGCCTTGGCCTGCAAAATATATCACATACTGTAATCCATCGGGTGTGAGTAGGGCGGCCATTCCGCCGTGAAGTCCGTAAAATGGCCCTGCACCAGTTCTGAGTCAATTTTGTCTTGCGACCCAGAGCGGAGTTAGGCTGTAACGTCCTATCCGAATCGCCGAAGTGTTGTTTAGCCCACGGGAGTACTGTGGCCTCGAGAATGTCGCGGCGATACACTTCTTGGTTGATTTTGAAACCATAAATCCACGAAAATAAGGAGGGTCTTTCCACTGGCGCAAATCCCGGCCCATACCATAACCGACTGCGGATTTTGGCGGTGTTCGACGATCGCCAATGTACCGAATGCCTCAGCCGACCAGCTCCTGTCGTTTTGATGGTTGTGAGCCTGCTCGAGGGTAAACAGCTTCTCGTCAGTGAAGAGGATGCGCTCCCATCGCTGACCAGTGGCTCTATGTTTGAGTCGGCGACATTTCTCCAGCCGTACGCGCTTGTTCTCATCCGTGAGGAGCTTGTACGCCTTGAGGTTAAGTTCCTTTTTCGCTATTCGATGTCCCTACGACTTGTTTATGCCGATCTCACGGGCAATCTTTCTCATGGACACCCTTGAATTTCGTTGAAATCTCTCTTTGATGATCTTACGGTTGGCGGAAGTGTTGGCGGCGCGCTTTCTTTCTCCTCCGGCACGGTCGTCTTTATGACCAAGATCATTGAAGCGATGACCTTGGACACAGTTTGTTGAAATACTTTGAGAAACCTAACAATTTCACATTGACGTTTTCCTTAACAAACAGCTCAATAATTACGTTAGTTTGACATCCTAAAAACACGACAAAATATAAGTCAGCACAAAGTCGAAACTTAACATAATGGTACATAAAAACATGGAGAATCCGACAAAATATATATATTAATTTATTGCGGTTCAATACTTTAGTGTTAGAATAAAAAAAATAAACATTGACTCCGTTATTTTGGGACACCCTGTAAATAGGCTCTAATCAGATCATATGTATATTACAAATAGAACAGCTCCAGAGTATGTGAAGAAGACTTACCCTCCACCCGGACAACGATGTGACACGTGTTGTTATTCCCCGCCCCATCCTGAACTTCATAGGTGACGTGGGTCTCCCCACGGGGGAACTCAGCCCCAGGGGAGTGGGAACGGATGACAGTCAGGGGCCCGGGGGCGTTGTCAGAAAACAGAGGCTCCGCCCATATGACCGGAGCAGCCAGATCCATACTGTAGACGGCCTCCGGGGATAGGCAACTGTCAACTGTGGGCGGTTCCTCGTCTGTCGCAGGCCCCGCCTACTTTACTTCCTCTTTGGAGAGACATGGAATATAAAAATACAAAATGTTGAGGAAGACTATAGTGCAATTGATATTTTGAATTTATTCAATAATAGGACGTGTGTATATATATATATTGCCACTTGGAAAATTAGGGAAGACCAACTTCGGGATGAGACAACAATTTATTTCAGGCAAGAACAAACTATGAGTGATAAACGAAAGATAAGCAAAAGAGGGAAGTGTACAGAGTATAGCAAAATATAAACATAAAAAATAATACTCTGCTAATAAAATAATAAATACTTTGTTACAATATATATTGGATTATTTTGGTTAAAGGGTTTATTTAAATCCACAATAAACGTTTTATTTCGAGAGGATGTTCGTTTTTCTTTTTCAAGAAAAATCCCATACCCCAACAGCATCATAAACAAAAATATGACCTGGCCCTAGACAAAACATCATCAAAATATTCGTTGCTGTAACATAGAGGCGGCCACTTGACTTGTGATTTTGTTGAAAAAAAAGAAACGAACAGAGACTCTAGAAATATCGCCTTTATTTTGATCTGAATAAACTTTTATAACTCGATCCTAAATACTCTCTATCTATATAAATTTATAAATCTAATATACTTTTTTATTCTTCTATCTTATAATGGAGATTAATGTCAAAGAATACTCTTTATTGATATCAGTCACAATCTTTTCATAAGAATTATATTTTAATACCTTTTTACCGTAAGGCTTTAAAATATATATTGGAAGTTTAGGGTCTTTCTTTATACCACTCTTCTGAATACCGTTGTTTCGGGCTATTGCCCTCACCAGTACAGCTTCGATCTCACAAAATCCTAGAAGATGAGTTAAGACATAGGTCAAATTGGCCATATATACATAAGACTCGGAGGATCACAATACATTATAAAGCCGAAACATTTCTTCATTGTAATACTGCAAGCTTTAGATCCAAAGATCAAGGACGGGCTCCTAAAACAAAATAATAAAAATTTTATCTAATCTAATAGAAAGACAAACGCATCGCTATTATAATGTGTTGTGCTTTATATACATATTTGGGTAATTTTTGTATGTGGTATAATACTGTAAAATTCAAAAAATGGCTAGAGAGACAGATGTATATGGAAACGTTGTAAACCACCTCACCTCTGACGTGGATACGGAAGGTGCAGGAGGCGTCATTCCCCGCCGGATCGGTGGCCTTGTAATTGAGGTGGGAGGAGCCTATGGGGAACCAATAGGGAGAGCTGACAGCAGGGACTAATGAGAGGGCCACAGTCGCTCCACTGTTGTCAGAGGTCTGGGGGGCGGGCCATGTCACCTGAGACCCCGCCTCCCCCTCGCTCGCCCTCACCACCACGTCGTCCGGGCACTCCAATTGGGGCGGTTCCACATCTAGGCCACGCCCACTTTCAGCATGGAGGCGGGGCATAAGTATTATAAATACAAACCTTGTTGTCAGATCTCAGATACGCTTCAATATATTCAAGTAGATAATAAAGTTTTGCACAACACACAAACATTTTGAAGTAAATTAAGAAAAATGCTTCCCCTGATCGTGCAACTAAAAGTTGCTGATGGCTTGCGCCATCTGTCGTTTATAATATATATTAAGAAATGTATTTTTGGCCGATCTTGGAATAATTTAAAAAAATCAGCGATTAGTTACATTTATTCCGACATATGGCACAAGCCATTTATTTTCCCAAGTGGACGTGGTATAGACCATGATGATCATGGTGGGTAGAAGTTGGCGACTGCTTTTATTGTAAGTGAACCACATATCTACACATGTGAAAAGCAGTTCGAATTTTGCATTTACAGCCAGAGCATCGTTTGGTTACTTGCACTTGCTGGTGGGGTTGGACTTTGGCAAGAATCGGGGGCCATTGGAGCATTTTTTTTTTTCAGAAAAAAAGGTGCCCAATGAGAGATTCGTAGCGGTCTAAAATCAACGGTTTAGACCATCGACCCCCCCTATAAGCAACTTTTAGTTGGACGACCAGGAAATGCCTTTTTCTTTATTTATCCACCTAATCCCAGTACAATTTCACTTTTTTTACTATTTGTTTCATATAAATTGATAGTTAAGTTTCATTTTCCCAAGATAATATTTTGAGTGAATCAACTGATACAATTTTTTACAAAGCATACTATTTCAATTCTAGCAAGCAAGCATTTTAAAATATACAAAGCATATATCTCTAAATCCCTCATCGTTCTATTTCTCTTAAAGAATGCTTTGTTTGAAAATTTAAATTCTCAACTTTAAAAAAATTCCAATTTTTTTTTTTATGAATAGGTGTAGAACGACATTTGAAAATTATCCCGCATGTGTTTCTTTTGAACGAAAAATCGAAATTTATTTTAAGGAGAAATAACTACTATTTCCAGCCTTAGGATGAAGTATGAAAGGATGAATTTTGAAGAGTAATGATGAACTGAAAAATAAAAGTGTCCTGGGATGGGAATAATAAATTACTTTCCTTTCATACTTCATCCCTAAAGTTAGAAATAATCGTTATTTCTCCTTAAAATAAATTTCGATTTTTCGTCCAAAAGAAACACATGCGGGATAATTTTCAAATGTCGCTCTACAATCATAAGCCGCATTATATTGTATTATTAATAGTTGTATATTGTATTCAAAGTATGCTAAATAGGCTCTTGACATGAGATTTTCTGGAAAACTGCAAGTTTTGAAACTTAGCAAATAGTCTTTCTATGTACCTAGAAGCCTATGAACAGAAAGTTCCCCCATTTTCCTAAGGTATATAAGCCTTAGAATTTGTACACTCTCTCTCTACGAGTTTAATCCAAACAGCACAAAACAATAGTAAAGGTAGATGTATAGTTGCACCAGGTTGCGGCTTGGCAAACTCTTCAACCTTGATTCTCTCCTGTGCCGGGTCTTGTATCTTACCAGAGCGTGTTTCAACCATCCTACAAATTTATATAAGGGAATAATGAGATAACTTTAAGTAGCCTCCAGAATAATTTATTTATTTCTCACATCAAAGAGAGCAGTGAAGTCACACGTGTACCTAAATACAAATGATGATTCTATAATACATATATTCTGTTTATAATACATATATTCTGTTTAATAAAATAAATAAATATAAAATATAATTTTGAATTTAAAATATATGAAAAATAATATTACAAATTAAAATAAAATAGGTTCATTAGCCATGATGCAACAATATATAAAGGGAATATCTTTAAGAGCTGTTTTATATCGTAGTTAGGGCCGTGAATAAGATCTTTGTTTGAAAGCTCGTAGCCCAGTTTTATCGGAATATAAATAAATAAATCGTTATAACGTGGTTTAAATAGAGTGTAGAGAAAGCGGTGTCTGAAGATCCCAGTTTAACTGAAAGATTTCCTGAGTCCATTTACCCATTCTCCTTTCATTGCTTCAATTTCTGAGGAGGATATGTATATAAGGGAATACTGAATGTGTGTGAAGTTCTTCTTTATTTACATATATAGCTCGAGT